CTCTTTTAACTTAACCAAACGCATTCTATATGAGATAAATCAGATATACATCAAATAAACACAATATTACAACGTACAATTGCACAAAAGGCTGCAAACGAACAGCGCGCATCTGAAGTGTCTCTGAATTAAATAATGCATTATTTATCGGCTTTAAGATATCGGCCAAATTTTCTTATCGGGCCGATACCGATAACAGAAAAAACGAGCATTTATCGGCCGATACCGATATGGTGGCCGATATATCGTGCATCCCTATACTAAATATACACTATACATGTTATTGAAACATTTTTGCATCCTCCTTTTGTAAAGTTGAATAAACAATTTTTTCACTTTTGATATAATATTTATACATTTATATAGTAGATTTTTTTTCCTTTTTAATTTGTCCTGTTTCCTAAAAAGAAATTTTGCGACTTTAGTTTAATTTTCTTTGAAGCTTGCTGAAATATCAGACATGTACAAAAACATGGTAATACCCTGGTACTGCCGTACATTTTTAATTACTTAATTTAATATTTGTAATTAATATTCAACATAATTGTCGTTGTTTCTGGGCAATAAGATGACCGTGATTTTATAGAAATCAAACAATAGCACGGTATTTTCATCAGAAGTCATCGCTGTACCACGGTACGTTTTTGTAGGTGACAGTACGTGATATAAACATGTTATCCGAACCTGTATCATTCTTTATCATTCGCCAAATCATAAACATATGATAGTTTCTGAGCTCGTGCTGGTTAGCATTGGCTAGCTTCACAGCAGCGATTTCATGACAAAACCAGCATTGTTGTCGGACAAAACACCTAAACAAGAGATCTAAACACGATTCCGAGCAAGCATGAGTTTGTCTTCGCCGTGTTGAGAATAAATACCTGCGTTTATTCCTTCCTCAGCGATCCAAACAAACCCGACTCACAGGAACAGCGAGCTGACCGCTGATTGGCTCGAGAGCGCAGCGACAGCTGATTGGCTCGCTCAACAGCTCCGCGCGTAGAGATTGGTTGGTTTGATTCCAAGGACGTAGTAAAACCATAATTGTTAAAACCATAATAAAACATCTTAAAATGGATTTATTTTAATGCTCGTCGAGTTTCTACGATTTTTTATTTGTGGAAATTATTGCAAAATCAGATTATTCACATCTTTTTAATACTGAGGTTCAAGATTCTATGTATATTTTTAAAATATCTAATTCAGAGCGAGTTGTTTACCACTATTTACTTTTATATTTCCATTTAATTCCTTCATAATTCGCGGTTTGAAAAGAGCTGGAGAATGCGGGCATCGATCCCGCTACCTCTCGCATGCTAAGCGAGCGCTCTACCATCTGAGCTAATCCCCCTGCGCGAGCGGAGTGCTGCATGCTGCACATGACTCTATCAGCGCTTGTTTTTAATAAATTGTATATTTATGATGTTTGTTAAATACACGTTTATCCCATTAAATAAATACTTATATTAGCTTTTAATTCAAAATTTCCTTGCATCAATATTAAAACCGTGTAGACCAGTTTGGACCAGAATATGAATACTTTCAATAGGCAAAGTTGGTCAAAAACTATAAAAGGCTGGTTAATGTTGCATGGAAGTGTCCAGCAAAGAAATTTCCATTCAAATCGTTGACCAGTTAAACCAGTTCATCTGGTCTGGTTTGATGAATGTGTTCGTACCGTTATCTTGAACAGTGATATTTCTGTCCGCTTTCGCTTTCACTCCACTACATTTCCTAATTAAAATGTATACTTTTACTCTGATGCATTTCCCCGAAGCATATTCGTTACTTACTATAAAATAAAGTGGGAAGAACACGGACTGCAGGAAAGCAGGTTTGACGAATCAGTGGTTTGGCGTCTGCAAGTTAGACTCCTAAAAACACAACCGCGGATGATTCTTTTTCTTTCTTTTTTTACTCAAGTCGAGCCTGAGGTGTGCGATGCGTGATTTATTTATTGTAGATGGCAATGCTTCTGTATGTTTTTTTTTCTATATTTATATAATTTAATATAATCCATATCACACAAAAAGTGTCGTTTTTTCTTCAGATATCAGCATGATAACAAATGTAATAATCATTTTATACACGTTTAATAAAGTTGGTATTAAGTGACTTACATTTTAGACACAACATCACCTGTTTTTGCTCAATATTGCTAACGAAAATAGTTCCAAACAAAGATCACACAGCACTGTTTTGCGTCTCTGAGCAATGCACGGAGTTTACTTATTGAACGAATCAGTATTTTGAACGAATCGGTTGAATAAATGATTCAGTGATTCACTCATTAACAAAGTCACAAAGTTTTGTTCCTGAATGAATCAGCCGTTTGAATGAATCAGTTGAATCTCAGTGACTCACTCATTAACAGTCACTTGCTGCCACCTACTGGCGGTTTTAATTTCACATTTCAACTATTTTTTTCCATGTTAAAAATCATTTTAAATATCAGTATTATTTATGCATCTGTAACTGCAGGTTAAATGCATCCATGTCCCCGCTGAACTAGGCCTATATTAAACTGTGTAAATACATCTAAATGCTATTTCAGATGCAGATTCCAGAAATGTTTTCTTACGTTGGAATGAAAGACACTAAGTACCGGATGAAGTGCTTCTTATTCTTACCCAAAACTACAAAATGGAAGAAAGAGTTAAAACTGAACACAATCTTGCTACTCGAGCTGTGCATGAAAAAAATAAGCTCCCTCCTTCGAACCAGCGACCTAAGGATATCAGTGGCTTCACTTCTACAGTCCTCCGCTCTACCAACTGAGCTATCGAAGGGGTCAAAAATGGAAGAAAGAGTTAAAACTGAACACAATCTTGCTACTCGAGCTGTGCATGAAAAAAATAAGCTCCCTCCTTCGAGCCGGATTCGAACCAGCGACCTAAGGATATCAGTGGCTTCACTTCTACAGTCCTCCGCTCTACCAACTGAGCTATCGAAGGGGTCGGAAAAAATGGAGAATAACATGACTTATGAATGGACACAGAAACAAAAACTACCATTGACTACAGGAGTAGCTCGCCCAAAAAAGTAGTATCTGCTAAAATTATACTCCCCTCAGGTCACTCTGATCAGGATGAGTTTGTTTCTTCATCAGGTTTGGAGAAATGCAGCATTGCATCAGTGTCTCAGCAATGGATGCTCTGCAGTGAATGGGTGCCGTCAGAATGAGAGTCCAAACAGCTGATAAAAACATCACAATAATCCACAAGTAATCCACAGCACTCCAGTCCATCAGTTAACATCTGGAGAAGACAAAAGCTGAAACACATCCAGCATTAAGATGTTTTTAACTAAAATACACTGAGTTTATAATCCATAATAACGCTTCCTCCAGTGAAAAAGTGCATCTGCTGTTGTCTCTCGCATCAAAATCCAGCCAAAAACCCACGTTTGTTTAGACCAGAACACTTTTTTAGCATTATACTCGGATTTTAGTTAAGTCTTGATGGATTTGTTTCTTTTAAAGAAATAAAATAAAAATAAAAAAAGTATATATGTTTTAAACTGAAGGCTTTGGTTTTCATTACACAATGAATATTGAAAAAACAAATCACAGAAGCAGTGAGCAGGACTGAACAGCATTGGTTTATTTATTTATAAATCATGTACAAAGAAAGTAACAAATCAGCTCATCTTACAGGCCACACGCCTGCTTCAAACGATACATTGTGCTTCAACAATGTGGTTTCCATAGCAACCCTTCTTATTCTGGCGTCCAGGTGGGGTTTGATGACGGACAGTAAATCATCCATGCGCTCAGTCACATTAATAATGTTCAGTGTTCAAGTACAGAGCTCAGCCAGCAGCAGTAGTCATTAGTGATCCACACAGAGCTAAGAACACCGTGAAAAACATCTGCATAAAAGACAGACCTGTCAGCACAACAGATATAAAATCATGCAAACTGACAAAATAAAGCAAAGAAAGAGAGAAAGGGTCTGTTTGCATCACGCTCGCGACAGCAGCTCCTGCGCTCGGCTCTTGGCAGCAGACGTGGCGTCCTGCAGGTAAATCCAGGTGCTGTTGGTGAAGGATCTCAGGTGCTTCTGGACGCAGTGCAGTGACACCTCGCCGCTACAGACACACAGAACACCAACACATTCACATGCAAAGCCATCAGCCAATCAGAACAGAGCGTATTTGCATATAGAGGTTCTAAAGGTGAAACAGCAGAAACTGCAGCTGCATACTATCCGTCCTAAACAGTGTTTAAAAATAGAATTAGTATGTTCCAAATCATAGTATGTTGAAAAGAGTATGCCAAAGATGGTCTACTACTACCACTAGTGCAGATCGATGCACAAAAACAGTGCACACTTTTAGGGCGTAGTATAAGCAGGCGAATCAGTGTATCATGAAGGCTGGACTGCTGTTATATGTGTTTGTGAGGTGTTGTGTGTCACTGACTCGCAGGACTCTTGCAGGCTCCTCCAGACGCTCTGCAGCGCTGCGCTCAGATACTGCAGCGACGGGACGAGCACACGCTCCTGGACATACAGCAGCAGCTGCTTCACATACTCCAGCAGCTCAAACACGCTCTGCGGAGTGTGCGCCTGGACCTGAGGAGCGTGTTAACATGAGCGCAGACACTGACTACACAAACCAGCATCACTACTGCCTTCACCAAAACCATGAACAACACTTACTCATTACCGAAGAAACATTTGAAGTACTAAAATAACAATTATTATAAACTATACAAACATAATTAAGAACAAAAAATAAAATAAAGTGGAAAAAAACAAAAACATAAAATGATACTAAAATAACACTGACACAAATACATAGAGGTTTGTGTGAGATCTGCTTGTAACTTATTTTATATATAATTTGTAACTGGTTGTAATATTTAATATTGATATATATTATTAATAATAATAAATATGATAAAAGAATAATAATTCCATTTTAATTATTAATAATAATAATAATAATAAATGTAAATATAACATTTTATATTTTAGATATTTTGAATGAAAAATCGTTATCAATAATAATAATAACATTTTGCAATTATTATTATTAAATTAAAATATTAATATAAAATATATTTCTTTAATAGTTCACATGAATTTCATTTTTAATAAATAATATTAATAAGAAAAATAATTTAGCAATTATTACTATCATTATTCAGCAAACATTTTAATTAATGATTTTTTTCAAATTATTATTATTTTATACTCATACTGATATATTATTTGTACTATATACATAATATACATTATAATATATAATTAATATAATGATTAATATATATAATATATATAATTTTATACTAAATAATACAACATTTTAAAGAGCACAATCACAATTTTAATGAAGAAAAGCAGCACAGAATATGTGCTCTAAGTGCTGACCCATTGGATGAGCAGCGGCACGTTCTCCTGCAGCCACAGCCAGAGCTCTGCGCTCCTCTGAGCGAGGAAGAGCGCGGTGACCTTCATCCGCTCGCGAGCGTCCTCCAGCAGCGGCGCAGTCGTCTCCAGCACGCGCGAGTAATAGTGCGGCGTGTTCTCCGCCAGCCAGCTGCAACACAAACACACCTGAGTCAGGTGACACGCAGCAGCAGGGCTAGCACACGCCTGACGCTAGCTCACCTGACGCCCTGCTGGCCGCAGTGTGACGCTTTACTCCAGGCCTGCTGGGATACGGCCGTGACCCCTGACCTCTTCAGGCACAGCGCTGTGGTGGAGCTGGCGAACGACCCCTGCGACCGCACGTCATGCGCGACGAAGCCCGCCACGAACACCAGTGACATCATCAGCATGCGCCACCACGGGAAGCCCCGACCGCGCATCTTCTGCTGCAGAGACTGATGGGAAACAAGCATGACACACAGTAAAACATCTGAACAACAGCTGAAATTATATATTTACTACATTTAAAAATAATCCTTTGAACCTGAACTCAAAATAAATCTGTAAAATATATTTATTTAGATGCCTCAGTCATCTGGTAAGTTTGTGCACTGGGAATCTGTTGTTTTTTTTTTAATACAAGAAAATGCCAAATCAAAACACTGTCAAAATAAAAGTCCGACACATTGGGGGAAAAAAATAATTAAAAAAAATCAATTTCTTATTTTCATACAAAGTACTAAAACTATATAATAAATAAAACTAAACACTAATCTAAAAAAATGTAATTAAAACTAATAAACACAATGAAAACACAACAGAATAACTCAAACTTTAACAAAAATTAAAACGAACACAGAAAACCTAAAAAAAAAAAAAAATTACCAATTCAAAATATGAACAAAGATAGTGCTAATTTCACACGCATGTCAAAACGGCATCAAAATAAAAGTCCTGCACGATGTCAAAATACATACCAGCCAAAATAGAATGAATTTACAACAGAACTGAACATTTTAAATAAAAAGAAAAGCCAAATATTGGCTGATATATTGTCCTTAGCAATGTATTGATAATATATAGTCAAACCAAAATTATTCAGACTCCAGATATAATTTATTACTAGTGTGTGCAGGAACTATAGTTCATTTCTGTAAGCGAGGAGAGCAAAATAAAGTAAACTATGACATATTATACCCAGAAACTCTTCATACAGTGGACTAACAGTAAAACTGATACAAATTTGGGAGCAAAAATGATCCAATCACTTTGAGCTGAGCATGTTTTTCTTAAAAGTCCCCATGAAATCAAAATTAAAGTTTTTTGGGTGTTGGTATCAATATGTTATGTTAGTCTTAAGGTTATCTATAAGGCAGTGTGCTCCAAAACAGTGACAAAATTCGCATTTAGAAGATATAAGCATTCAAAGCTTGCAGTTCGTCGCTTCCGCCAAAACGGCTCAACGATTTTTTTGACGTCACATCGTACTTCAGCTTCTCATCAAACTTTCAGTCCAATCAAATGCTCTCTAGAATCTGAAGCCCCGCCCCCTACACTATAAAATAGACGCTGAAGCCGCGACTGAAATCAGTCACTTGTCCACAGAGTTAGTATTTTCTGTGCAGTGAATGGCACGTAGTGCACTATATAGGGGACAGGGAACGATTCAAACAGTGTAACTATGCTTCCATTGAGGAAAAAAATAAGTCTGGTTTGGCGCCCACATCGTACTTCAGCTTCTCATCAAACTTTCTGTCCAATCAAATGCTCTCTAGAATCCGAAGCCATACACTACCCCTACACTATAAAATAGACGCTGAAGCCGCGGCTGAAATCGGTCACTTGTCCACAGAATTAGTATTTTCTGTACAGTGAATGGCACGTAGTGCACTATATACGGGACAGGGAACGATTCAAACAGTGTAAATATGCTTTTCATTGAGGGAAAGAAAAGTCTGGTTTCGCGCTGTGTCAAGCTAACCACCGCACCGCACACACACTCTGCTCCGGTCCAGAGACAGGATAGCATGGAGCGGATCACATGCGCGAGTCGGCGCAGACCACAAAATGTATCGGAGCTATTTGAATTCTACACAGAATGCTATATTTTATAGCAATATGAATGAGATTGTGGCTGGCATACCCTGTCAAATGCGGCTTTACGGAGCTCAACGGCTCTAGCACAAGCTGTGATATAAACGAACGCTATTGGCTATTTTAAAAAGGGGCGGGGCTGCTTGATATGTCCCGCTCTGTCTTCCTGTTTCAGTTACCTTTTCAGTTCAGGACCTTTAATTGCTAATGCGATCTTTTTACACCACAGACTGAACTAAATGAAGCACTGCTTGATAATCGGTTGAGCTAGATTGGTTTTATCTAATTGTTTTCTTATATTTCACAGCTGAATTCATTACATACCTTTCTGAGTTCTTGTCATATATTTTATTACCATTTTCTAAACTATAGTGAATAAACTGTGATAATGTGATAAAGGTGTCTGAATAAATTTGGGTTTGACTATATATATCAAATATAATACATACCGATTAACACGTATATGAAGCATCAGTAAAGTCAACGGGTTGATGTGTGTGTGTGTGTGCGAGTGTGAGTGTGTGTGTGTGTGAGAGAGAGAGTGTGTGAGAGAGTGTATGTGTGT